AGATCTTAGTTCTCAAAACCTTTAGGAAACTTGTTCAAGCCTCTTAAACGGTTGACCATGAGCTTAGGTTAAAAGTGATACTATTGACAAAGGTTGACATTTTTATGAGAGGGCAGTCTTTAAGTTATTTTTTGATTGGGAGACTACAGTAAATTCAACGTGTTTCGAAACCTCTACACTAGAAATTTGGCTTTATTCGCGCGTGTTATGTTAAAGTTACACAAGAAACAGAAAAAAAAACGGTTACGGGACATTTCTTCGTATTTTCTACTTTTCTTCCTTATACAGCAATCTTTGTCTTTGCTATTTATACAGAATCATCGTGTGAGTAGACAACACTTATGGTAAAAAAAGAAACTTTCTATCAAGCCAGGTTGAGGCGTGGCATAGTAGGTGGTTACGGCACAAATTGTCAGTCAAACCTCACATAACTTCAGTGAAGTGGGAAAAGTAGTAGAAACGTCGGTAGTGAAAAGTGATAGAAACGTCGGTAGTGAAAAGTGATAGAAACGTCGGATTTTCACTGTTGTCTATTCTATATATTTAGTGAACTTTCGGCATATAAAGAAGGCAAATTGAGTGACTTATCAGAGCTATCAAAGACCATGCGGTTACGAGACAGAGAAAAGGATTTTTTCGGGATCACAAATTCTGAACAAATTTGTGAAAAAACAGAACAATCAGTAATAAAGGTAATGATGTAACTGAGTAGAGCGAAGAAAATTCTACAAAAAAGAGAGAAAAAAAAATATTGCTTCACATAAAATAACAGAGAAAATAGCATTTACAAAACCAAACGTATCTGAATCACCAGAAAGACAACATGAGAATAACGGTCAAACGTGGATGTTTTGCTTATAATTCGTTCACGATTAAACATAGAAAAGTCGTACATGCAGCGATTATAAGCCTAACGTTGATGAATATATGCAAGAAGTCCGGAGGCGATTCATCAAGATTCAGAAAAGAAACGCTTGGGATCATTTACATCATTCGAACGGTACTATTTTTATCAGAATCACTCACCTATGTATATTTATAGTCTAAAGTGTGTTCTGCGCGTTACTGCAAACTGTGCCAGGCATGGGCGTGCCCGGCGGGATACCGAGTTCGAGTCCTTAAAAACAAGCCGAGTCCATTTCTAGCGCGGTAATCGTTTAGATTCCTTTTTAATGAGGATGGTTTATATTTTAATTTGCTGAGCCATGGATAGATATTTGATTTTTCGAAAATAAGGCTACGTTCCATGTCCGTCTCCCGAACAAAATTTTCAATTTCATGTGAAACAGTAGGTGTTGTTGTTTCGCTTTTCATTTTTCTCTGCTCATTTGTGTTAAAAGTTGAATAGATCTGGCTCGAAATACAAAAATTCAAGTCGGAGTCCGTCCTTCAAAAAAATCTCCAGTCCGGACTCCGACTCGCCCATGCCTAAACTGTGCTCTGAACCGATGAGTATTCAGATAGCCTTCTGAAAACCCATTTTATTATGCACATGGTTCTGGTTTCAGGAAATTCGAAAAATCTTTCATTGATTCAAATTCCGCCAATGGAAATACGAGAAAAAGATTTCTATAAATATAAACTCCAAAATTTCCTTAGTGATTTCTTTTTAGCTTATTATGATTAAAATCGGCTAAAATAAGAAAACTAATGGTATAAGAAACGATTTCGTCGCAGTAGAAGTGAAAAACCAAGTAAAAGCGCGGTAAAATCATTTCGAGACTCAAGATGACGATGAAGACGACGTTTGTCAAACCATATCACCGGATCGAAAAATTTTAAAAGCTCGTTCGGTCAGAACCGATTGCAGATTCGTCTTCTCCATCGTTGATTATGTGGTACGCAATAACTTCTGGATCGGGGTGCTTTAGAAAACATTTTCGACATCGTTTTGCCTTTGGTCCCATACGGTAACATTTAGAAAAATTTTTGAGCAAAACCATGGGAAATAATTTTTCTAAAGTACCCCGGTCCAAAAGTTATTGCGTAACACATAATCAACCAGGGAGAAGACGAATCTGCAATCGGTTTCCACCGAACAAGCTTTTGAAATTTTTCGATTCGGTGATATGAATCGACTACAGCCATTTTGTGGAGCTTTATGAGCTCTGTCTATTCTGATAATAAACAGTTTTGAGCGGTAATCGTAACCGACAACTTGGTAAGAAGAAAAAGATAAAGGATGAATTCAATTTTTTTATGCTTTTCATCGTTTTTCAAATATAAAGTGAAAAGTCCAGTAACATATGTGGGAAAAGTCCACGTCTCTTATGTCTTCAGTCCCAGTCAGCCGTGTGAAAAATTGTATTAGTCCGAATTCCGTCCCAGTCTGGACTTGAATTTCCCATCTCTGTTCAGAAGGTACATACTATAATAGAACAAAACCGTACAGATATTCAACAGGGTCTAACCGTGCTTTTGTGGGATAATCTTTCGATTTATTACTCTGCTTGATGTTTGATAGTCAGATATTTACCGGGAAATGTCCTATGAAAATGCAAGTCAAAGTTAACAACGTTGACACACACATGAACACTGGCTGGGTGTCACTCAAAGTGGATGAAGGTATAACCGAACAACGTTCACAACATTCTTAATATTGGCAATCTTCTGTGAAAGAATCACAAATTATCTCTTTAACCAAAACTTTAGACGTGCTTACTCTAGTGATGTCATTGAAACAAGACAGACAGAAAAAAAGAAATCAAATAAGAAATTTGTTCACACTGACATTGATGTTTACTAGGCATGCACCAATACAATATATTGGGTCCCGATAATAATGGTCACCCAATCTATTCGGACCAATAATATTGGCCATCCAATATATTGGATTTTCACAACATTATTGGGTATTGGATCAATTGAGTTCGGCCTACTGTTTCAGTACGGACGCATGCTTTATATCCCGCTTTGAATCAAAATATAATCCAATTAGGCATGCATCTATTAATAATTAATAAACCGAAAACGCACTATAATCATAGAAAAATAATCGCCGGTCGCTTTTTTCGCAATTTTGCTCAGTTTTTGATGCTTATATTTCTGTCGCGATAACACTAAAATGTCTTTTTGCACTTTAGTTTGGTAGAACAAACATTTTTCTACAAAATGAGACACTCGGCAACTCTAAGTGCGTTTTGAAATCTTATTCGGAACGACTTTGCTGGATGCCCTAATATCGATTGTTAATCGGTACATGCATAATCCAGATCGGGATATGCTTCCTCACGTTTTTATGATGGTAAATGCTATTAAGGTTAAAAAGTTGGAATCCAGTGTATTGCGAACCCAATATTATTGGTCCCAATAGATTAGGTGACCAATATTATTGGTCCCAACAGATTGGGTATACAATAATATTGGGACACAATATTATTGGATAGCCAATAATATTGTACAATATCTTCAATAATGATTGGTATTGGTGCATGCCTAATGTTTACCAAATGACATTGTTTTCTAGTGGTGCTAGTGCTATATCAAAACAATTATAGCTTCGATTAGAATGTGAGTATTATTTTCCATTCTGTACCTACTCTACAATAGTCCAGCAGTCTTTTTCTCCGGCAGATGGCAGATTGAACACTACTTTAATTTTTTGATATATATGTTCATTCAGTTTTCTTTCCATTTCTGTTATCGGTGATAGTATTCAGCATTCTGAATTTTGAAGACTTCCGTTAAATGAATATTTAAGTGATGCCCTCAGTTGATCGTGAACAATGGAATTTAATGTTTTTTTTTATTTTGTTAAACTCTGTTAAACAAAATTATATACAGTTCATGCAGCAAAAATGCAAATTAGGTGTACACAAGAAAGCTTCACCAACGTTCCTCTTACTCTCGGGAAATATGGCAAAACTTCTACCCTTCGTATGAAAACTATACTGTATAAGGAAGCACAGTGGATTAAAAACAGTTATAAGAAGGATAAATAATCATCCAAGTGCGCCGTCGGTGTAAGCTTCTCGTTTGACAACCATGTAGGACTTAACAGCATATTAGCTGCCGTCGTTGGCCAATCTAAAACTCAAAACAAGAATCCAGTTGATCGGAAAGTGTACAAAGAGACTTAGGGGTGAGACAGTTCTAGTTCAGTTCAAGAACTGACCCGATAACCGGTTCTGTCGACAATTCTTAGGAACTATAGGAACTGGTCTTCTTACCATGTGTTAAATTGTCAAGGACCTCGTTTAAAGTGTTCAATTCATCCACGGAAAACTCGGTTGAACACGGCGATAAGTGTTGATTTGACATGAGTGGTGATAATTCTACAGATGATTCATTGCTATTCAGGTGGTGCAGTTGAGAATCAAATCCAATCAGTTCGTCGCCGCACAAATTGGTCGATGACTGCTGTTGTTCTTCTGAAATTATGTGAGAAATCAGAGACGATTGTGGATCTTGTCGTGATACTTCTACCACTGGGGGTGGAAGAGTAAATGGAGGCGTTACAATGACTGGATAATTTTGTATATAGGGTATGAGCGATTGATCGATTGACTGTAAATTGCGTTTCAGTCGCTCTTCCAATGTGGAAATTGAGGAGTCAGAAGCAGCTGTTGAGTGAACACGAAAACAGAGCTGAACTGGCTTTTGTTGAATGGAATATGGTTCATGACGAGCTGGAAACAAGTAGATTCCGTCGCTTAGTTAGTAAAAGTAATAAGTAATGTACTTACCACATTTTTTCACTCTTTTTGTTTGATATCGATAATTAGGATGTTCAGCTTTGTGTTTTGCTCGTAATCTATTCGCAATGTCATTATACGGCTGTTTCTCTGCTTCTGGCATTGCTCAGTTGATCGTGCTCAGTTGAGTAAAGAATTGGGACTGAGATGGCGGTATGATTTCCCACTCAGTTAAAAGCTTTACTAACCAGTCGTTCTTTTACCAGTCGTAGTAAAAGAACGACTGGTTAGTAAAGCTTTTAACGGAGTGGGAAATCATACCGCCATCACCGACCCAATTCTTTACTCAACGGAGCACGATCAACTGGTTGTCCGTTAATCACTTTTTGTACATGTTCTCGTCCTACATGCTGACGCCAAGCGAGAAATGCATTCATCGGGCGTTTAACACGATCTTGTTTGACGGACAGAGAACTGGCAGATGGCGACGCAACGTTCACTGATGGTGATTCCAGAGGAAATGTGAGAGTATCCTAAACAGAAAGATACAGAGAGATCTTAGAGAAGCAGATAGTGACCCTATTGAAAATGACCTGCTCCTAATAGAAAAAAATCAATTCACATGTTCTCTTTAGTAGTTTCTCTTCAATCCGTCTATCAGACTTGAAGATTCTCTTGAAAATAAAACAAGTATTAGGCTGTAAGACTCACGAGAAAAATATTCCTAATTTTTATCCGTCCCTCTAAACTTGGCCTTTGAGAAATCGTTACTATACAATGTGTTTCTGTTAGTAAAGAGTCGTCACGCTGAATACTAGTTAAAAATTATTTTTCGTTTCTATTTTCCACCTAATGTAAAACGTTTACAAAGTCAAACCTCCTTCAAGACTAATTTATTTTTGTCATTTTTGGACTCGGTTTCGTATTTATCCTATTTCTCTTATATCTCCTAAAATTTCTGTAAGTTTTCTATAAAGTTTTCTATTTTCATCAAAGGAGACCTCAAGGATACTAATTCTATAGCTAATGATTTCATGAAAACAAAACCACACAAATGAAAAAACGATACCGTATAAAGTATGATACGAGGGTATTTTTTCCACCCTTCTATCTGACATGTCAATAATGATTAGAATTGAGAAGTACCTCGAGCCAGAGAGTGATGACAATTTGTTAACTATGCAAAAAGCCTTCATACTATCTTGGAGAGAGGCAAAAGAAAGATTTTGTAAACCCGCTCGTATAAAAAAACTGTCAGCTATTCGCTTCTCGGTCCGAACGAGGGAGGAGAAAACATAATACTGAAGAAGGGATCTTTTTAAGAACATGTCAATAATGATGATCTACTCAAGAAAAGCAAGGAATGTCCAACAGTAAACAAACTGCTTTCTGTAAACGAAGAAAAACAACCGTTACGACTTGTTGTAATTGTCCTACCAAGATTGTGAAGAAAAATAGACTCTGTACTGAATCTATTATTCAATACACTGAAACGGATGTGCTATGTCACGAGTATGTTAGTACAGACAAAGGGAAAGATTTAACTTAAGGGTAAAAACTAAAAGTATAAAAATCAATAGAGCAGCTTGTTTAATGTGCATATTGTTACTCTTTAGTTGTTTATCATCGACATAAATTCTCGAACGTCGACGACAAATAACGAAAGGGGTAAAATATGCATATCAAATAATCTCCTGTAATAATCTTTGTTTCATAAGAGGAGAGAAATTAAATAAACACACAAAAGAAGAGAACTGGTAGAGAGTTATCGCGAAATATCCAATGGGAAGAGAGTCCTATTCTTTACATTTCCCATACCACGAAATTCATGCTTTTTCGTGATGATAAAATCAAAACCGTAAAAGTTAATCTCATCAATAGAACAAACATGGAAAAGTAGTTAAATGGAATAGAAATAATTATAACACATATTGTGTGAAGTTCATAATTAAATTCGAAAAGATGCATCATGGCTGCGAACAGTTCACTGTTCTTTCTCTACGCCGACCGACATTCGACCGACTCAATGTGAAGCATGAATGCACATGTTTTAAGTTCAGTTAAAAATCCTTGGGAAAAATATAAGATAATAGACGTAAGGTGTGAGTGAAAGTAACAAGTTTAATATGTGACGATGTTTGTTTTGTGCTAGGTATGTTCATACATAGTTAGGCAATAATATGCGATACAATATCGGTTGTGATGGTACGCGTTACCGCATTTCTAATTATGTTTTAAATCAGCAGGATCATCCTTACTGTCACAGACCACAGACGTTCAATGAAGGCGAAACGGTCCCATAGGCGTCGAAAGTAAGAATATTATTTACGGTATTCGATATTATCACCTTCATTTTTCAGTACAACACGTAGTAACAAACTGGCACCAAATAAATGCTGTAACCAGACATTTCTATATGGAAGAAACGGTGAAACAGTAGAAGATTCAGGTAAGTCTGTTGACCATTTTTCTGAGAAGAGGAATCGTTTTTCGAAATATAGGAGTCGTTTGGATAAGAAGATCAAAAATAATCATAAACCGAGTATAACTATTGCATAACCTGCGAGTAACGACGATGATTTCTTTTGCAGTGTATAAAGCAGAAACTGCCATTGTATTACTTTTGATGGAGATGTTGACGCAAACTAATAGGTTTCAGAATAATTTTCGCCAACTATACACGTAACGGTAGCATTTTTAGTTGTTTCAATGCAGGTTATTTGTAGAACTAGTATTTTCCTCTTTTGTTTTCTACATTTGCAACTATCGATAAATTAGTTGCTACACTTTGGTCCTTACATAGTCGAGTTTGCAAGATGGTGATCCCGTGTTGGAAGATACTTTTTTTCTACTTTAAGATATCTAACGTTTTTTGTCTTTAGTTCAGGATGAGCAAATTCGATTCAAGGTACAGGCTGTTTACCGTCTACGTCTAACTATAAGGGCTCGGTTGTTTGGTTCTCAGGTTTTTTAATTTAACCGAAACAATTGGATCAGAATGAGGGAGCACTAATTTGACAGAGTACATGCACTTCTTTGTTGTTGTTATCTCATTCGAATAAATACGATATAATGCACAGAAGATCGGAAAAAGTGTTCATCCAGACGATGGAGTAATTTTTAAGGTCCTTAGTACAGTCTATACAACCACTTAATCTAAGTAATGATCGACTTATCTCTTATGTCAATACTACTCACCATCTAAATTTGAGTAAATCACTGAATATCACAAGATGAACAAAACTTTGAGCAGACAAGATTGTCAGCTTTGAAGAAAATATAGTCCTTGTATTCGTACATGGACTGAATATTGTATAATGAATATATATAGTGCAGAAGACAAAAGGAGAGAGATAGAAAACTAGTGGCGAGAGTGTTTGTAACAGAACCAATCATAAGAGAGTCTTTCTTCTCTAGACTGACAGTTCGACGTATGTATTTGATGAAAGAAACATGCATGAAACGTTTACCAACCTAGATTACTTGAGGTCATCTATACAATGTTCTTTGTCGTTTAGACGTCGAAAGAATACCCCAGTTGTCAGAATTTTGTCCAACCAACATGAAAATATATCTGATTTGTAAACCTGTAGAAAATCGGAAGCATTTTCATACCGGAATATGTGTTTTCTACAGCTTTACAAATCCGATCTATTGCTATGTTGATTGGTTAAAATTCTAAAAACGGGGGTATTCTTTCGACGTCAAAAAGTCGAAATAATGTTACTGAGGACCTCAGTGTCGAAAACGCATTGACTACTCTAGACTGGTAGACGTTTGATGGATCCCTAGTCGAAAATACTGCGGACGGACTCTCGCGGGAGTCCCATGGAACTTTTATCTTCTCCAAGAGCGGAAGAATTATGCAAACTCCCACGGTATTCCCAAGAAATATTTTTCAGGAATACTTTTGTACTAAAAAGAGAAAGCTGTTTATTATAAACTCTAGATAATCATTCTGTCGTTTACTCTTCTGTCTCCATATTAATATGCCATATGTGCATTAGTAGTTGATTATTTCCGTGGAGGCTGAGATAATCAAAAAATGGGTGCAGTAGAGATGAATTATTCATTTAGCTGCTGCTTCATCACGGATTGATATAAAACAATTCCTAGATATAAGTCTGATTTGTTTATGGGCAATACTTCTTCTACTGATAGATATAAGTCTGCGCCAAACGCACTTCCAGTGCTCATCTGAGTCCTTTTACGTACAGGTTTATGAACGATATAAGCGGTTGGTTGCGTATTCTGATTCTTCACGTAACATACTACGGCGTATTATCCTTCATAGATAAACAAGTGTCATGGATTTACCCGATAACGCTAGGAAACAATACATCATCGTCTTCGAATGCAAAATATTCGCCCGGTGAACGTAAAATGACTCCGCAACAACATTAAAAACAACAAGCAATAGTAATGTTAACAATAACAATGACGATGATCTAAACACAATGGATGTCGAGCAAGAGAATGCTACTGGTCATGACGAAGATACTGAAACTGATTGATTACTATCATGCTCATACATTATTACCTAATGATGTAATTAATGGTTCAATTTATACAAACAATTACATACGAACGTGAAATATAATCCAGTAACGTTGATGATCCATGCCGATAGTATGAATATTGTTGCAACAAAACTAAAAAAGTTTATTTCGCGAGAGGTACAATTATTGAGATACCTCCTCCACCACATGAATATTCAAAGAATAAACTTTTTTTTTCTCTATCCGAGAGCGCACCAACAACAAAATTATTATTTAGTCCTTTAGGATCTGAGATAAAAGAAAATATTAATAGCGATTATTTTACCATTGGAAACAATAAATTTCAATTAAAATTTCAAGTACTGGAAACTGATTTACCATGCAAAGCATTATGTTTAGATTTAAACCAGCACAAAGGATGTGAGTAACCAAATTCAATAATGAATGCTACTTAATACGCAGATGAGCGAATACTGAGTTTTTCAAGCAGGTGTATGAGTATCCCAAAAAGTAATATTCAATCAGCTTTCGTGCATCTTGGATCTGTTATACTCTTTATAAGTGTAGACCCAAAAGCCAAGGAGGAAACAGCGATTTCGGTATTTAATCAGTACTTTTGGTACTCTTCCAAGAAGCCTGTTTGGTCGAATCTATCGGTAAATTT